AGACCAGTTTGGAGGCAGAGTGGATGGGATAGGGCCATGGGCAGGCAGGGAGCAGTGTCCAGGAGTGGGACAGGTGGGCAGGGCTTGGGTGCAGGATTGTAGAGTGGTAATAGCCTGGGACCAGGGTTCATGGCAGAGCCACTCCCCCATGTTCCTGCCTGAAGAACAAGCTGCTATCACAGGGATGTGTAGGGAGCAGACTGCAGGCCTGCTCCAGTCCCCAATCCCACACTGTCATTGCCCCATAATTTTGGCCCCGCCAACCTGCCATGCTCCTGGACACTACTCCTCACCTGCCAGCAGCTGCATCCCATTTGCCCAGCTTAGCACACCCTGCCCACAGGGGTCCCAGGCCAGTCTCCATGGAGATCCTGCACAGCTGCTGCATCCAGCACCCCTGGCAGATAGGATCATTTGCCCCATCCCCACTGCACTGGCTCGGGTCAGCACCACCCACCTCCTTCACTGGGCTGGGTCAGCATTCCTCCCCACCCTCTGGACTGCAACTACTCACCAAAATTCCTAAAGTGGCCCTCCAGCTATTAACAGTACCCAAGTTAGGTAGGTTAAAACAACCTTTTTATGGCTATACAAACCACAGCCACATCTTTGACTACATGGTAGACATACTTTTCTAGAAGCAGGGGGCATCTCCTGATGTCTGACCACATACTACTACCTACATGGTGCAGGAGAATATCTACTGGTTGCAACTACTCCTTCCTGACTTGTAAACACAGAAGTTAAAGACTGTAACCACCTGACTCAGATTCTCTGCAAAGCTAGTAGAGTTCTAAAGCCATAAATGATCTTTCAATCTAGTTTGGTTACTAAGTCTACAGGAATAGAAGTTTTCTTTCTTAATGACAATTTTTGAAGTATGGTTTTCCAAAAATCTTAGTTTTTGCCCAAGTCTTCATTGCTGACCTACTTTTCTTGTGCTGTGTCAGCATAGTAAGTCAGAAGAAAGATGCTTTCTTTCTTAAAAAAATAAAGTTTGATAACTAAAAATCTTTGGTGGCAAAACACATGGCATGTAGAGACATCCACATCCTACCAGCAGGTTGTAAGATACTCCAGTATTCAAGGCATCAGAACTATTCTCAAACCTTTGACATATCTCAGCAGAAAGTAGAAAAAGGAAAAAAGAAAGTTTCTATTCATCTTAGAATTGAATATTTAGAAAGGCTCTTCACCTTTTATGACAACCTATGTAATAGACATTTTTCCCTGATAAATGACTGATTTTTTCAAACTGACTGGACAATAAAGACAGCTGCATGCTGCTGCTAAATTATATACACATTTCTTTCCTTGTTAAATAATATTAAAATAATTGACTGGCAGGGAAATTAATAGTAAACAGGTGTATTTGTTACATAATTTCATTCAAGAGTTTGCAAGCACACTTTGAGAGTGATTATACAATGGAGCTAGCATAATTATTCTAATTCACTGTTTTAGTTCCATATAATATTTGTAACTCATTTGCATAGTCTAGTTCAGTTAAATCATACTAAGTACATTGTACATAACTATTAGTTGCAGTCTTGAGGAATAGCTGAAGAGGATTCTGAAAGAACACTGGGTCAAAGATAGTATTAAAGAGACAGTGATGCCTCTGACAAACTTACCTTCTAGTCACTGCCTTTAACAGCATAGTGGTTATCAAAAATATACCTGAAGTGGGTCCCTATATTTCCAGAAGGAGATAACTGTGGTATCCTGGTACTTTAGTTTGGTATCTGAGGGCAAATGTTTACTTTCCAATGGTGATTACCAAACCTTAAAATATCTGTTTTTAAAGGTGTGTAGTACTCAGAAAATGTACTGATTTAATGTGTTGAAGGCTGAGTGTCTCTGTTTAGTATAAGGATAGGTAAGGTATATCAAGATTTTCTGCCTTTGACACCGTAAGAAAGCTCATCCTTCACAACATGAATGCCAGTTTGCATGGCAACAATTGACACCTGTGAGGGAGAGGAATATTTCTGGCAGGCCTAGTTGCTAGGAACTAGAATGAAATCATAAAACTTATTTAACCTAAGAATCCAAACTAGCTATCAGATTATAATGATTGTCAGGCATTCCCAATTAACTTGTCAAAAGAGGTGAAAAATCATGTAGTCCATCAACACAGACTTTTACCATAAAGCACCTTGCCCAAACTAACTCAGAAAGGCATTGATAACTTTCAGAGACCTGTTCATTTACAAAAATGAACCAGACAATGAATACATACACTAGATACCTTACTAAAGCTGGAAGGTCTAATTTTAGGCAACCTACCCCTGAGTATAACTTTGGATCAAGCATTTAGATGTCAAGCCTTTGTAAATCAAAAATAAAAGTGGTACAACAAGATCTTGTGCTTGACAGACTTTTACTGCTATTGTCAAAAGCAAATATCATGATCAGAGCATAGGTTATACAACTGCTTTGTGTAGTCTTGGCACCATTGTTAATCAAACACAGAGAGATGTCAAACAAGCCACACTATACAAGGCTTTACTGGTGGAAGGGACAAAATATTGGGGAATATCTAAAATTATTTATTGAAAGGCAAAAATCATTTGAACCCTTTTTATTGTAGCTAAAGAATAAAAAAAAATGTCAAAGTCTATTCATATTAAACACGTGTTTGTTTCCTATAGATTTCAAATCCCAGGAAAACACCCACTCAAACTTTGAATAAATTTGCATGCATAAATTCCTAGATGTCTGCAGCTGGAAACTGCATGTGCAAACACTTAGCATGGCATCTTCCTAATGCTTCTGGAAATGCCATGTCTAATACATATACACGTACAGCAAAACAGAAAATACATGTGCTAGGTCTATTCTTACCAATCATTCAAATTTAAGGTCAACCAGGGAAGAAGGTGCTTAAGACAGACAGAGGGTAGAATAGATCAAGAGAGGTGGTTTTTATATACATATAGATATCTAATTTAAAAAAGAAAGAAAACCAAACTTACATTCTGAAAGTACAAGACTTATTTTACAAACATATCTAATAAGAGAATAAAAAAGGCTCATGATAAAGCTACTTCCTTCATTAGTCTAGGCAAATTATGTGGAGACTATGAAATATCTTTACTAGTTTTATCACAAGTATAAAAATAGGAGGAAAGGAAGAAAGAGACCATCCACAGAGCCTTTCAACAAAGGTACCAGATAAACAGCTACACAACCAGTAATAAAGAATAAAACATACAGGCTATCATGAGTGTCAAATAATATAATTATAATGAAGCCCCAGGGCTGAAATGCCCGTAGTAAATATAAGGAAACCTAAATACTGTACTGCCTATCCATGATGAGGATGGCCCAGGTATTCTATGGTATAAAGTGGGTTATAGTCAGATAGGTAGTCCTTATGGGAGTACACACTGTAAACACAAATTCTTTCAGAAACTTGGGAAGAGAACTGAAAATTCATACTTAGGTGAGAAAAGTATAATATTACCATATTAAAATGTCTGTCAATAAGCACATGGTGCATGAGAGGCAAGCCAGAAAAATTAGTAGTGATGCTAATTAATGGAGATTGTGACCTAGTGGTCAAAACTGATATGGATACTTTGCAGAATTATTCTAACAAACAGAATATTATTATAGATAGGTAAAAAGGAAAAAAAAAACCTTTCTTATTAAAGCTTCATAGAAAATGAAAGACTTCCATACCAAGTGATGCAGATCAACAGAAATGTAATGTGCAGGACAATCATATGCTGATGGGGGGTTTGGTGGGTTTCCTAAAATAATCCTAAATATTTCTGAAGTCCTATGTTAGTATGATACTTTCCTATCAAGTTCACCTACTATAGAGGAAGGAAGCAGTGGGGATATGCATTAATGATCTAAAGATGCACAGATCCAATCAAATGTTACGCACATCTGATGCTTCGTGTACAACTCATTTGCTTTTAACTCTGCAGCATGCAGTTGCCGAATAACTGACAATTTAATGGAGCAAAGCATTTTGTGGAGTTAACCAGAAGATCAAAGACTGTACACATGAGGCACTGTTTACATATGTTTTCCCCCTACAAAATTTGGGAAAATGTGTTTCATTTTACTATGACAACTGACAAGCGGACAAAATTAAATAGTGCATCCAGTGAAGAACTGTAGTTTATCAAGATGCATTTTTAAAGCTACTTCTCTATTGCATTTATTTGCATATATTATTTAATTAATTGAATCCAGGTAGATATTTGAAACAGGCAATACTTTATTTTGGAGTAAGTCATGGCAACCAGCTTTAAAATTGATACAAAGTAAATTGTGGTTTAAACTTAATATGAGTTCTAGGATCTTGGTGAGGTACTAACATTTTACAGCCAATTATGCAATAATTATATGGGCTTCTCCCTGCTATTTTTTTTTAATGAAATTAAGTGTAATCCACCAGCAATGTCAAAAGAAACTGCATCTCATTTCCACATTTCAATTATGCACCAATGAGGAACAGGGGAGAAATTCCAAAGCACCTGATTAGTAATTATAGTATGCTAATCATAATGTTTTACTCTTCTTAGCAATACAGCTAGTCTGTTAAAGAAAGAAAAGGCAAAGTTAAAATGTCACTATTATACCTAAAACAAATACAGAATACAAGGTTATCATATTTGCCAGTGCCTAGATATATGACAAATATGACAGGTGGTTAAGAGTCATTAGTGATTGTGTGTTTAAAAGATGTTAAAACAGAGATTCATTCTTGCTTCACTTTGCTTCACTTATATAATTATGTGATTTCTGACAGTATATGATGCCAAGCTATTCTCAGCTTGAAATGACAATAGAAGAGAACATATTTTCTAACTGATAACAAAATGCTGTTGCTGATTTAAAATAATAATAAAATACTTGTCATTCTTTTTCCTCTACTTCACCAGCATTGCTACTGTCACTCGCATATGAAGCTTATACAGTAGTTACAGAGGTTACTTACTGGAGATTTATGGCAGAAAATAGTTGTCCTTTAAACCTACCTTGTCTTGGAAACTCATCTGACTCTCTGTGAACCAGATCAGAAACTCGATTTCCATAATGCATTCTGGTGTCATGATCATATGCCTTCAGTGTCTCACTTGAGCTATAGGACTTTTGAGTTGGTACTCTGCAGTCCTCACTGTCCAATGAAGAACTGGTATAACGGCA